AGCAACAGAAATGTCGTTATACAGTTGGATCGTAACGTTGCTATTGACCAAATATGTAAACGATGTCGACGTTTTGGAGAAAATGGAATCAAAAAGGGAACATTTCAGTGTAAATTTCTGGAGAACAAAATGAGGAAGGAGGTCTTGACAATCTTATACCCACAGGTCAGATTGAAGACAAGAGAGGCGGAGGAAAACAACGCATATTATACTTCGTCTGCTTCAATAAATGGATGGCGGAACAAGTTTTAAGAGAAATAATAAAAAAAAATATTTATTAAGGACAGAAATTTGCAGAGAAACATGATCGCCTACACCCTGAAAGGGCCCGGTACATAATGACGAAGAATTATATATTGGTTGACTGGAATAGCTTGAAAATAATTATCAGTAATAAAACATTTTGTCCTAAAGTTCTTGCAGTCTAAATAAATGGTGGGGGATTCCCTGAATATTTAATAAAAAGTATGGTTGGAATAAGAATATCCCGAATAGCTTTTTCTCCAGATCCTTTCCCACCAACTAGGGTATTGTCGCGGTCCCTATATTTGAAAAATCATTCGTAGAGTTAGTCTCGGCGTTTATTTATAATTACACTTTTCTCTTTTTGGTTATCTGTAAAAATTATTTATTTAACCGTTCAGCGTTTATTTATAGTTAAAAAATTTGGGGGTTGAATTATCTGTAAATAAGATCTGTTTAAATGTTTAGTGTTTATTAATAGTTAGGTACCACTACGAGATCGCTAAAAAAAAAAAAAAAAAAAAAGAGCATAGCTTTCTTTCTTTACTTGACGAAAACAAAATTTTATCGTCTAAATGTTTATTATTAAGAGGAAAGTATTTTGGTATTTTTTTACATTTTTAATCGTTCCTTCACGTCTGAAATTTTCGTTAAAAATCTTTTTTTGCTCAGGAAAATTGATCATCTTTTTTTCCATTTTATAAAAAAAATGGAAATCTCACTTTGAATAATCTCACGTTTAAATAACAATTATCATTTTCTTCAAAACTTATTTTAAGAAAATCAGAAATTATGTTTGTTTAAAATATTTTGAACCAAGATAAACTTAGCTTTTGCGCAGAAAAGATGTAATTTGAAAATAAAACACAGCAGGTCATAAACTTTCGCGTCACTTGACAGGTGATGAATGACATACTGACGGATTCCGTGAGCATAATTTGTTCTACGGAAGGAGAAAAGTGAAATAATTTACATTTCATTGAAATTATTTACCTCGTTATTTTTAAGGAAAACTTTCAGCGCTCTAATTTTTTTTTCTACTTAGCTTTCACCTTTACTTTTACGATGATTTATGGAAAATATATTATAAAGAAATTAAAATAACTGTTAAGAGTGACATGAAGTTTCATATTTCATAAGAAAGGTATCTAATTAATTTATTGGTACCTTTCTTATGAGATTTTATCAGAAGTGTACATAAAATACTATAATTTCATGTACATTTATTACATTTTACTGTGTTATTTGTATTTCCATTTATTTTATTAATTTTGATATTTCATTTATGGAAAATATCGTAACTGAGATTTATATAAAGATAAGTTCATACAAATTTCATAATGATACTGATACTTGTAGGTACACTTCTCAGTTGTAATTGAAAAATCAAATTAACTTCTCCACACGTGTTTCTCAAAAGTAAAGGCCTTAACAACGGAGAACAATGCTAAACTCAAATAACGCAACTTAATTGTATTCTGCTTGGTCTTCCGTATTTTATAATTATATTTATTAAAAACACAAAATCACATTTTTTTTAATTACTGCGGATCTTCTGATTAGTCAAAATGATACAATTTACAATGCGCTAAAAAAAAAAGATCTATCTCATAAGCACACTTAGGAAACCCAATGCGGCTTTTGACTATTTTTATAATATTTTCAAAAATTAAATGTAAAAGTATATAATTAAGAAATAACAAATAATTGTATTAAAAATTCTTTTTTCATCGAAAAACTTTTTGCTTTAAGAAAATATTGTCCATATTCATAAAAACAACAAAAAGCATTTGAAATCAAATAATATCTTTGTTTTAATTAGTTTTGTATGTTACAATTCAGAGCTGATTTTCAGGTAGGTGGGGTCCAATTAAAAACAAAAAAAAACATGATTTGCATTCCTCAAAGCCTTGTGCTTTTAACTATTGCAATCATTAAACTAGACTCGAACGAATTTCTAGCGTTTTCATAAAATTATGTGGGGGTAATAAATATAAAAAAAATTATTTCTGCCATGGCTTTAATAAAAAAAACATAATTTCGATCATTTGTGAATAGTTTCTGAAAGTTTCATTAACATCCGACAATTATTTATATTTTTGCAAGATTTTCCAAATTTGTGTCATACCCACCCCAAAAAAACGTGCTAAAAATTGTCTGTTATTTTACTAGTTGCGTTGCTACAAAGAGAAACAATTTTTTTTTAATCAAAATTTAGAATGTTCTAAAAAGAAGGAAAAATAAGTAAAAAAAAAAAAAAAAAAAATTGATATTTCCTCTTAATAATAACTTAAGCATTTAGACGATAAGAATTTGGTTTGGGCAAGGTTGGCGTCTTTTTCATCAAACCATGCTCTCTTTTTATTTTTTATTTTTAGCGATTTCGTCGAGGTACCTAATTAATAGTTAACCATTTCTCCTCTTGATTATCTGTAAATAACTAATATATATATATATATATATATATATATATATATATATATATATATATATAAAATGTTCAGAATTTTTATTTTTCCTATCAAGATTTCTTATAGACGGCCACAATCTTAAAATAATATATGCAGATGATGCAGTGTTGATGGTAGATATGGAAAAGAAGCTCGAAAAGGCAGTGAATGAAAGCAACATGTATATACTAAACATCAATTGAAAGAAGAAAGAATACATGGTTTGTCTATATTTCTGAGAAGAGGTATTATGTAAACTATTTACATTACTTGGATTATTGTCCCCATCTTTGTCACCATTTATTACAACTTTTCGGCCGTTCTACGCTCCGGCCTTCTTCATGTAGTTGGAATGTCGAACTTAACTCTATTTCGCTCACTGGTGTAGACTGTTCTAATTCCACATGACATGTTTAATGGATATCAGTTATCTTCTATTAAATCCCCTCTCCAACTTCTCCACTGCCTTAACCGGGTATTGAACTCATACTCTTGGGTCCTGTCACTGGATCTAAACAAGGCCTTTATCCAATGTGTCGGCAAAGATGAGGACAATAGTCCGAATAATGTAAATAGTCGATACATGGTTGGTTGCAAATAGAACAGTGCAATAGGCAAATTACAAATTGGAGATACCAAAATCAAACAATTACAAAAAAATTTAAATACTAAGTGTTTTAAGAGCGCGTAAAATGCGACACCGAAAGCCGAAGGAGCATTGTGATAGCGAATTACGTTAGAAGCAAAGACGAGTACTGAACTTATATGTAAACTACTTCTAAGAATCTGAAAGAGACCACTGAAATTTCAGTGGAGACAGGACCAGAAGAATTTTAAAACTACGGAACAAAATGACTGATTTTTTTTTCCCTTTATTCTAATTGGTATGCCAGTGTTGATAACAGGCACAGAAAGGAAACTGTAAGAACTCGCACAGAATGTAGTTAATGATAGCTTGAAGAAAGGACTAATCATTAACTGCAACAATACAAAATGAATGGTTGCTAGCAAAAGGAATAGCCCAGCATGCAGATTACAAATTGGGGATGTCAAATTTAAATAAGTACAAAGATTTAAATATCTGAGAAATGTTTTAATAGATATTGAAAACTGACACTGAAATCCAAAGCTGCATTAGGGTAGTCAGGGATACAATCCAAAAGACAGGCAAAGTATTAAGAAATAGAAAAAATTCATTAGAAACAAAGAAAAGAGTGCTGAATTGTTATGTAGTATCAGTTCTCATGTCTATCAGTGTATACTGACCAATCTATTCACGGATGAAGAGAAAACTTGAAGCAGAAGAAATGTGGATATAGACTACCATGGACCGAATATGTGAGTAACGACGAAGTTTTAGAAAAAAAATGGAAACACAAAGGAAACTTATCAGCAAGAAAAAGTAGAAATTTCTAAGGTACATGACTTGGAAAATCTAATACCCACAGGACAGATTGAAGGAAAACACAGTAAAACAACGCATACGCTACCTGGCGTGCTTGGGTAAACGTATGGTGGAAGAAGGTTTAGGAGAAATAAAACAATTTATTAAGAGCCAGGAGGGACAGGAAATTGTGGAGAGCCATGATCGTTTACGTCCTGAAGGAAGACGTCCTATAGAAACAGAATGAAACTCAGCTGTGAGAACGTTTTCTATCTTGTCATTCATTTACTCACCATAGACCTACTTGTATATTACTGCCGATCTGAAAATACCAATGTCGGTTGGTTGTCCTGTTGAGTTTGTTTCTTGTATGTTGGATATTTTTGTGCTACTATAGTTCCATTGTCATAGGATTGATTTAATTATAATTATTATCTCTTCAGGATTCGAAATCGTTATGGTTACATGAAATAGGTCATGAATATAAGACTATTGTCTCGCGTTTCCTTTACGTTCTCGTGGAGCGTGACTGTTTGGATCGAAGTCTTTTTTGACATTGTTCTATACACTTATAGAAGTCAACAGGCAGAAGAAAAGAACGGGATATGACAAAAACTGAGAAAGAAAACTATGGGATTCAATTAGGTAAGGAAAAGAAGGCGAAAAATTGAAATAAAGAAAGGAAAACGGAGAAAACAAAAAAAAACTAGCATGAAGAAATAAAGACAGTAAGAAAGAAGACAGAAAAAGTAGAAAAATCGTTGAAATAAAAGAAATTCAAGATAGAAAAAAGACGAATAAATAATAAGGAAAAAATGAATAAAGAAATAAAAAAAATAGTACAAAAAAGAAATGAATAAAAAGAAAAAACAAAGAAATTATTAAAAAAGGAAAGAAAAATGAAATAAAAAAGGAATAAAAACAGATGAAATGAAAAGAATAAAGATGAAGAGGAGAGAATAAAAAAAAGGTGGGAAAAAGATGTAATGAAAAGAGAATAAAAAAGGGCGGGGAAAAGATGTAATGAAAAGGAGAGAATAAAAAAAAAGGCGGGGAAAAGATGTAATGAAAAGGAGAGAATAAAAAAAAAGGGCGGGGAAAAGATGTAATGAAAAGGAGAGAATTAAAAAAAGGGCGGGGAAAAGATGTAATGAAAAGAAGAGAATAAAAAAGGGCGGGGGAAAAAGATTAAAGGGAAAGAAAAAATGGCTGACGTAAAAACTTTAAACAAAGGTTCGAACGTGTTATGATTAAAATTTTCTTAAACATAATTAAAAAATACTTTGGTCTTTCCTCTTAATAACAACCATTTTGATGATAAAACTTTGTTTTTAAGTTTGATGCCTTTGTTTTCCATCATGCTATACTGTTTTTTTTTTTTGTTTTTTTGGTTGGCGAGCAAGTAGTTACGCATAGTAAGGCAGAAAGAGACAAAGAAATATTAGTGAATATTAAGGATTATTGAAAGATTTGAAAGAAACGTAATACAAAGACAAGTAATAACTGCTAAGTAATTCAAAGTGAAAAGATATATAAACAAAAGACATGAATAGAAATACATGTACGAAAATTAGTGAAAGGTTACGGGAAAGAAAGTTGGGTGGGTTTTCTGGAATATCAAACATACGAGTTATTTAATACCAAATCCCCTCTCTCTCTCTCTCTCTCTCATATATATATATATATATATATAGGCACCCCAAGGCGATGTAATAGTTAGCAAGCTTGTCTCGTTAGAACAATTACGACTGAATAGTGAGTTCGATTCTCACTGGGTGCCTCATACTTTCGGCCTTGTGCCACATCTAAGCTACACTTGGGATATATATATATATATATATATATATATATATATATATATATATATATATATATATATATATATATGTGTGTGTGTGTGTGAACAGAGAAGTCAACACTTAGAGGCGACAGTCTGTTTCATGCTAGATTCAATCGTCAGGCTTCTAAGTTGACTTCTATGTTAAATTTTATATTTACACACGCTCTAATCTCTGAGCACTTTATCCCATAAATATAGCACATCTTAATATATTTCTTTGTATATATATATATATATATATATATAGTGTATGTATGTGTGATTTGGAAACAAATAGTTTGTAGGTAGAAATGTTTTTAAAACGAGCATAACTCATTTGTCCGCACACGTTTAAAGTGATTTCAAGTTTAGTATTTTTTTATATATACTTTTTGCTACGGCCCCCCTCACTTCAGGAATCAAAAACAAAATATTTCAATTGACCTGTTCCATCTGGTTGTTGACTTGGTAATATTGGGAATGGATTTCATTGAGATCATTGGATTTCAGCAATGTATTTTCCGCCGTAAATTCGACTTGACAGCCAACACAGAATAGGTCGCACATGCATACACACATTCTCTATGTGGAGACGCGTCCTGGGTATGGCGGTAAACTGCGTCCAACAGCAAGGCCTCTGATGTTTTTGGAAAAATAGTATTACCAGCTATACGTTTTTGAAAAAAAATAGTAGTGTAATTGCTAGTGTTCCCAGGTCCACCCTGACCCAAGGTGGTAGCACATATTAGTGTACCAACTATGGGCAAATATTTAGATCCAAAACTGAGCTCAAAACAATATATAAGTGTAAAAATAGGTTTTAATACCAGAAATTGGAAAAAAAAATACCAGCAATACATTTTTGAAATAAAAAAAAAAAAAAAATTACTTGAAAATACTACCAGGAATACATTTTTGAAGAAGATAATTATTACCAGCAATAAATTTTTGAAGGAAAAACATTACGAGCAATACATTTTTTAAAATAATTATTACCAGCAATACATTATGACCAGCAAGACATTTTTGAAGAAAAAAATTATTACCAGTAATATATTTTTGAAAATAAAAGAATGAAAGTTACCAGCAATAAAGAAATCTTGTCTGCATTAAATAACACATTGAGGTTGATTAGCCGTAAACCAAACAAAACCATCCTTCTCTTCATCCTTTCCTCTATCACGATTCTTTTTCCTTGCTTCCACTCTCTGTAACCCCTTGCATGCTAGTGACACTCCCGCCTTGCTTGGGGTGAAATGCTTAAAAAAAAACAAAAAAAAAAGACATTGCATTCCTTGTTACAATCTTCACTGTTCTTGTTCTGTTTCCAGTCTAATACTGCTGCGTTCTCTATTCATGTAAATCCGGTTAAGTTTTGCATTTTATCTCATTACGCTGACAATGCGCTAGAGTTTGCATTCGTTTCTACATGGCTTTTGAGACAGTGCTATGAAAACTGAATTACTTTTGTCTTCCAGTATATCGCTGATCTTGTACGAAAGAGTGAAATGTAATAAGAGAAAAAAAAATAGGTAAATAAGAGAAAGGAATTCTTTTGCAAACGAAAATTATTAATGTATTGAAAGGATTAAATTAGTTTATGAGAAAGTAGAAAAATGGACGAAAAAATAAATTTAATAAGAGAAAAATAACTTCAAGAAAGAACAAAGAAAAGTGCCGTATTTGACGACGTATAAGGCAGACGGGTGGATAAGACCCACCAAATTTCAGCAGGGAAAATCAAGAAAAAATTAGTAATGAGTAAAATTATTAGTAAATGGCTCTATATTTATGAGGTATTATTTTGGTTAAAAAAGCCATGATTCCAATTAAAAAAAAAAAATAGGAAAAATAACACGAGCCTATAAAAACTTTATTATATCGTTTATATCATCTGTGCAACCTGTATCTTGTCTTATTGGAATAATTTGGATATAAAAATTCTGATTTTTATTTATACCAATGCAACCGGTCGTTATTGCAAGAAAATTTTTAATGAAACAATATATTTTACAAATACATAATTTAAATTTATTGCATTTTAATTTTAGTGAAACAAAGTACTAATATTAAACGTAATGAAATTAATATAATGAATATTATTAATGATAATTTTTAACCTGCATAATAGATTTTTAAATAATGACAATATGTATATGAAAGTTATTATAAAGTCTAAGCTAATACGAGTTGTCAGGTAGCTAATTTCAGCCGGCTATCACAAATTTCAAAACTACATATGGCATATAAGACGCAGGGAAATTTTTAAAAAAATAGTAAAAAAAAAAAAAAAGTGCGTTTTATATGCCGTCAAATACGTCAAGTCAAACAACAAACGAGAAAGAAAAATGAGTGAGAAAGAGAGAAGAGGCAGCAGCGTATTGAAGAAAATAAAGCGGAAAGTGACGACGAAAATGAAGAACAACCAACAGCAATAAGAATAACGAGAAAATATAGTAAAATCTGAGAGATAAACTTAATGATGAAATATGGATTTCTCTTTTAGACTTAAACTTAACAAGCGATTGTCTTCAGCTACGTACTTTAATGGATCTAATGAAAAATACACGAGTTGTGGTGTCATGGATATCGGCTCGGAAGGAGAAATCGATGATCCGAGTTCGAACTCCAGTCGTGTTCGTTACATTTACTTACGCGCAAATACTCTTAGGAAACATATTAATCCATCTATTTTCTCTTCTGTGGGTTAAATAACAGGACAGACTCTGTAGTCTTGGTCGAAAACTAGTTTACAGCAGAGAGAAATGGCAAACTATTGCAGGAAAATCTTCTGTCTAATCGAAAGAGACATGATCGCCCATGACACTTAACTGAGTGACTGAAAAGCAATAAAGATAGATTTTACTCCAGTGGAATTATACACTAGAATTGAAAAAAAAAAATAATCACGAAATAATAAGAAAATGTCAAAAACTAAAAGCGGTATTTTTTTTCTACAAACCACTCGAAAAACAACGCCATTTTTTTGTATATTTTAAGATGGCATGTTCGAAATACTTTTCCCGCACTTTAATCAGGGTCGTGTAAATATTGCGACGGAGAGGTGAATTGGCGAGGCGACTTTAAATTCACGGCACTTTTGATTAACCGTTTACTTTCGTACAAATATCGTTGGGAAAGGCATGAATCCGCCAAATAACTGAACAGACTGAACTCTCTAACCTCTGGCGGTAACTGATCAAAGAGAAGGAGAAATTTATACTGTTTCCTAAAGTCATAACTCACAAATAAAGAACATGAATCTGTGGAAAGAAATAATCAACTACGCCCTGAAGGAACAGACCGATAAAACATCAGTTGAACTTATGAGGGAAGCCTACCCAGAAAGCAAACACACACTTTATACCTCTTTCTATCTCTCTCTCACAGAGAGATAAACGAGGCCTTAGTTATAATTTTTAGAGCCTCAATTAGTAAATACCTGATTTTATTATTCTTTTTCCAGTGCTCCATATCATTATAGACGAGACGCCGACATTAGTTTAAGTATCACAAAGAATACTTCATAAATGAGAATCGTCTAAGTCCATTAAACGAAAGTCTTAACCACTGATTATCATGTCTTTATTGTTTCACACAAGTCTGGCTTCCTGAACAGACACTTCCCATTGGATACTTTATAACTAACACATCTATCGTTTCACCTCGAGGGCTAGAACGAATACCATTATTAGCTATGACAGAGCTTTTTAAAGGCAGACATGATTCCTCTTTTGTCTATAGAACATTCAGGCAAAGAAACCTGTGACTGTTAGTGTACTCAGTCATATATATACCATGCGTGATACACGTTTAGGGGATCGTGTATCTTTTGATACATGACTGACGAGGCATATTTTTTCCAGCAGTAGCATGACTTCCTGGGGTAGAGAGGTGCCATCCAACGCTATAGAACACTCTATATGTGTTCTATGTCCTGCCAGTTACCCATAACAGGGGTGGGGGAGAAGTGGATTCATACCTTTCCCACGTAAGTGAATGTAAAGGATTCGACTGGAATTCGAACTCTGCTCTCCAATTCCTCAATCTGAGCCACTATCCATTACACAACAGTGCCCCTCAAATGAACTTGGTGTACTAGTAAGAAATTTATCACTAATCTGGGACTGCCAAACTCGTTTCCCAAGGGATTTCTCTCAACTGCCGTTATTTGGGCGTTGTATAAATCAGTATTAAAAAGTATAGTCCCTCCGTCAGCACTTCCTCAAAGGATGGCGTAGTGACCAAACGTATCTGGTTTCCCTGGTAGCCTCCATAGGCAAACTACATGTGGCTTGCAAATATAACCTTTATGAAAAGTCTTCCATATATATATATATATATATATATATATATATATATATATATATATATATATATAAATGGATCGTCTGGGTGGCCAGTTCACCCTGAAATCCGTTTAGGTTTGCTCTACTTCGTATATTGAGCACTTTACGTTTTTACTTTTACTCGTTTTGTGTTTTTTTTCTTTGGACTCTGAGCTTGAATTCTGGACGATTGTTTTCGCCTCAATTTCTTGTTCTTAGTTCTTTTTTTTATTCTTCATTTTTTCTTGGGCATTGGTTTGTTCAATTACAAGCCGAGTACCACTATTATATATATATATATATATGTGTGTGTCTGTGAACGTTGCTTGTGTTTTTGCTTGTGTAAGACGCGGGGTGAGGGAAGAAAATGGAGAAAAAAAGCCCCCTGTCTTTCCAGCTTCCCGTGATTGCGTGTGTGCTTATTACTATTTCAGCTTTCTTTAAACAAACAATATTTTAAATATTTTTACTTCAACTTTCTTCAAAGACTTTTTTTAATGTTGAAAGTAACTTCGCTTTATAATCTGAACATTCAGCGGGTTATATATATATATATATATATATATATATATATATATATAATTTTAAAAATACGATTTGTTTATACAGTAAGTATTTTTATTCCAACAATTTTTTTTAATGTTCAAAGCAACTTCAATAACTGCAAAGAAATGCATTTTTAAAATATCTCTTTCACAAATACTTCATGAAACTAAATGTAAACAGTAATACAAGGTTGACGCAACTGGTTAGCGGTGGTCTAGTAATATATATATATATATATATATATATATATATATATATATAACAATGAATTATTCATACAAAAAGTAGATTAGTAAAGTTAATGATATAAAATGGCGAAATCCTTTCGGAAACAAAATTTTAAAGTTGCATTAAACTACAAATCACTCGATGAATGTTATGATCTTTGATTTAATAACTACAAACTGTACAAGGTCTTTATTTAATCTGCAAGTATTTTCAACTGTACATTCAGTCATCCTCAGGCATGGACATTATTTTAAGTAAAATCCAAGTAGCATCTCCAGGTTGTTTTGAACTCTGAGCTGTCTTTCTCCTACAAACCAAGGCTGTAGGGCCCAGTCTGTTGTGCTATTCGCTCATAGCTAAAGTGTTTTTGCGAGCAAGTGTCTCTAACACACTTTGCTCCCAGATTTCTCATTCGAATTCGTTATCTATTGCACCTATGTGCATCCATAAAATAAATTCAGTTAGCCTGTGTGTCAGTTTATAGATGTATTATAATTTCATTATGGCTGAATTCGTTATATTAGCGTTAGATTTTGAAATGGCGATTATTGTTTTGGATCAATTTTAAACGACTTCAAAAGATCATTGTTGATCCTATTGAAATAATAAGCAGAGGAAAGACAAGCAAATACATTATTTTGCCTTATCATTTTTAATAGTAACTTATCTGACCGGTTGTAACTTTTGTGGAAATATGAGTTATGAAAACTGAGCAGGAATAGTTTGTACGAAAAGTACTTTTGTCCCAAACCGTAAGATGCTAAAAAAACAAAAACAAATATCAATAAGACAACTCGAGTTATGTTCATAAATAGACACGTTACATTTAGACTCATTTATCTATATGCAAAGGTCTTTTTAGAACAATAGTTAAAAATGGCTTGCAAAGGAAAGATTCAATAAATCATAAGTCGTCAAGCCTTCAAGAGTGAGTAAACTAGAAACAAAGAACTTTACTAAATATAACAAAATAATAAAAAAAAACACACCAATTAAACACTTCCAACAGTAGAAAGAGTGACGTGTAGTATATGTTGTTAAAGGAATGGGAGAGCGATAATCCAAATAATGAAAACAGTGAATTTGGACAGTCAAATTTTCCTAAAGTACAGTGTGATCCGAAAGTCTTTTAACCCCCCCCCCCAACCAAAAAGTAATGCCCACAAGAGAACAAGTAATACAGTAATACAAAGCACATGTACTGGATTCATTTTATTCAATTTCATTGATGCTACCACACATCGAGAATGGTCTGGAGCCCCTTCTGTTTGCCTCGGGGTTCTTGATAAGCTCCAGAGGCGGATATGCAATATAATTGGCCCTGTTCTGGCATCTCGTCTACAGTCACTCGCTCACAGACGCACTTTCGCCTCTCTCTGTCTTTTTTACAAATACTTTCATGGTAATTGCTCCAATGAGCTGCTTTCGCTGGTTCCCAGACTTCGCGAATTCAAGCATCCTACGAGGCTGGCATCCCGCTCTCACCCTTTTACTGTCAAAACTACTAAATGTAGCCGTCTCTTCTACTCCAATAGCTTCATGTCTCGCACCTCTCGCCTGTGGAACTCCCTTCTCTATTCCACTTTCCCTGAGAGCTATAATCTCCAGCTATTCAAATGTAATGTCAATCGACATCTCCAGTTGCCTTGATCTATCCACTATCCTTCTCCTCATCCTTTCCTCTATCACTCCTATCTGATCTTGCTCCAAATATTCTGTAACCCTTGCGTTCTAGTGGCTTCCGGCCTTGCTTGGGGTGAAACGCTTAAAAAAAAAAAGTCATTTTCGTTACACAAAATGATGAGGCGCCATGTCCTGTGCGACATTTTACGAAGCTGTCCTTTGTTGAGTGTTGCAAAGGCTCTCCTAACGGCGTCTTTCAACTGATGGATGTTCTTGTATCACACTACCCTGTACTTTAATAAAAACGATTTATGAATTATGTAGTCATGTATGTTGGTCACTGAAAGCCGAATGTTTCATGCATGGAAACTGTTTTTCGTAAAGACAATTTCTAAAAGGCTGGGGTACCCATTTGTAGCAATGTGACATCTTGAATACTTATATTCGTGGAAATCTTTCAAAATATACATTAAGTGCGCTGATTCAAAGAAACATGAGATGCATATTTTCTGTCGAGTAATGATTAACAGGACAGAAAAATAAGTATAATGGAGAAAACTAACCTATATACTTTAGTATATTTCAAGTTTTTGTGATCGGATTTGAACTCAAAATGGAGATCGTCGCACTATACAGAATTTATTTATTATTTAATAGCTTAAAACTGAAGTATTCACGCTTCCCGGTTGCACTATACACAAGTAGATTGTTTATAGAGATGTAAAAATTAATGCAAAAATCTTTAGTGATCGCGCATATATAAGGTCGTCTTATATATGATTATATACGGTGTCCGAAAAATAATTAACGTGCATACCGTATCCTAGGGGAGATTCGTGATAATAATCTACTCTTGTTTTTAGAATATACATGAATATATTTCTTCATATCTTCGGGTATAAAATGGACTAGTCTAAACTTTACGTTGCTTCTTTATATCCACTTTTACTATTCCGATCAGCAACACTTTCCAGAAATTCTTGTGTAAACGTCTGAATGCAGTAAGAGTCAAACTAAACGGCTCCTTTTAGTTAACGCTTTAGTAAGGACTCCTTATGCTATCCTCTAACTTCACAAGAGCCAGATCAGGCTTAAAATGGCGCACTGCTCTCATATTTGGTCAAGAGCTGCCCAGTCCTCACTTTACAGTTGCGATAGTCCAAAATTTTTTGCGCGTTCTTTTCGGTGACAAATTATTGGCGCTATTTGCGAGCGCAAAGTAAAACACCACCAGATAAATTTATAAAATTAAAAAAATAAGTTTTTAAAACAGTTTTAAATTCATAAAATGAATTAAAACTAACAGTTGGACTGTTGCAAATAATAATAATTTAAATTTACAAACACTAGCAATGTGTTTAAAATGCTTCTGTAAATGTTTCTATTGTCATAAGTTTTCTAGAATGAAAATCATTAAGATAAATCTATTATTTAAAATTAAAATCCAAAAATTAGTAAACAAATATTAAGAAAAAGAAAGGGAAATCTATTGGTGTTTTTTTTTTTTTTTTTTTTTTTTTTTAAATAAAAAAGAACGAAAGACAAAATCGTGTGGTTGTGACAGTGTTATAGGGTGCGAAAGCGTAATAGCGCCAAATTATTTTTCACCTTCTATCGCTACGTCCATGAAAAATGGCTCAGACGAACTACATTCCATAGTTCCACAAGTTAGAACCTACACGGCGAGGGGTCGTCATGCTTCTCACATTGTAGCAAACCACCCACACTCCCTCCATATTCCTTTGGTGCCAACTAAGTTCCATTCGAGCACCTTTGGAACTTCCTCTCGAGAGGATGTTTCCTTGATCATTACAATCTTAATCAGTTCAAGTTCTAGGGTCAACCGTTATATTCACCATCTATCCCTGCTTCCTAATCAGTAACTTTCTACATAGTGCCCCCACCCCACCCCCGGGGGCATGTACAGGGTGAACCTCGCTGTAAACGAACAAAAAAAAAACGAAAACAAAAAAGGTTATTTACATTATTCGAACTGTTATTCTCGTCTTCATTGCCATATTCACAATGTTTCAGCCGTTGTACGCTCCCGGCCGTCATCAGGTGATTGGAATTTCGAACCGAACCCTTTATTTCGTCCACCGGGGTAAATTGCTCTAGTTCCACGTGTCATGCATATTCAGGGTCTCTCAGTATTTTCTATTTAACTCAGCTCAACGGCCGAAACGTTGTGAATATGGCAATGAAGATGAGGATAACACTCCGAATAATGTAAATCAAAATACCTCATCTCGGATATAGATAAAAAAAACTGTTTCTTAACAAGAATGCGATGTAGTAGGGTGTTGTCTACAATCTGGCAATAATGGTTATTATGAACCCATCCAAAATTAATGAGGTATTCATATCTTTAAAAAGAATCGATTCTTGTAACAACGCTTGATTCCAGTGGTGAATTTGAATTAAAAAGAATAAAAACTTGTAATTTAACGGATAATTTATTGTTGAAACAGATATATTTCAGAAAGCTTTTGCAATCCTTGATCACTCTTGAGAAATTAATTAAACCGTGTCTAAACTACATTGCATACGTTATAAATTCAAATTAACAAAAATCGATCGAATTGAGTTCGCGTGACATGCGTAAGCTGAAGAAATCGTGAGAATTGTTTAAAAAAAGTCATTTCCAAACCAGAGTAGAAAAATACTCCTAATTTCTTTGTACTTACCATTGCATTAGGGAATTTTTTTTTTTTATAACTTAAACAATGTAGCTTAGTCACTGATTCATTTATTATTCATGAATGATCAAGGATTGCAAAAACTTTCTGAAATATGTTTTAACAATAAATGATCGGAATTGCAAGTCGTTTTTTCTTTTTTTTAAGAATTGATTTTGTTGAATTGATACAATATAATATTAAAAAGGTACTTTTTAAAAAAAAGTGCATTTTTTTTTTAAAAAGTGCATTTTTTTTTAAAAATAGTGCATTCTTTTTTTTTTTTTTTTTTTTAAAGTGCATTCTTTTTTTAAAAAAATGCTCTTTCTTTTTTTAAAAAAAGTGCTTCAAATTTTCTTCCTCCTGTGCCTGTTTCCAGCCAAGTCTGTCGGCTTCCTTCCATCCCGCTTTCGAGCCAAGTCTGTCGGCTTCCTTCCATCCCGCTTTCGAGCCAAGTCTGTCGGCTTCCTTCCATCCTGCTTTCGAGCCAAGTCTGTCGGCTTCCTTCCATCCCGCTTTCGAGCCAAGTCTGTCGGCTTCCTTCCATCCTGCTTTCGAGCCAAGTCTGTCGGCTTCCTTCCATCCTGCTTTCGAGCCAAGTCTGTCGGCTTCCTTCCATCCTGCTTTTCGAGCCAAGTCTGTCGGCTTCCTTCCATCCTGCTTTCGAGCCAAGTCTGTCGGCTTCCTTCCATCCCGCTTTCGAGCCAAGTCTGTCGGCTTCCTTCCATCCTGCTTTTGAGCCAAGTCTGTCGGCTTCCTTCCATCCCGCTTTCGAGCCAAGTCTGTCGGCTTCCTTCCATCCTGCTTTCGAGCCAAGTCTGTCGGCTTCCTTCCATCCCGCTTTCGAGCCAAGTCTGTCGGCTTCCTTCCATCCTTTCGAGCCAAGTCTGTCGGCTTCCTTCCATCCTGCTTTCGAGCCAAGTCTGTCGGCTTCCTTCCATCCTGCTTTCGAGCCAAGTCTGTCGGCTTCCTTCCATCCCGCTTTCGAGCCAAGTCTGTCGGCTTCCTTCCATCCCGCTTTCGAGCCAAGTCTGTCGGCTTCCTTCCATCCTGCTTTCGAGCCAAGTCTGTCGGCTTCCTTCCATCCTGCTTTCGAGCCAAGTCTGTCGGCTTCCTTCCATCCTGCTTTCGAGCCAAGTCTGTCGGCTTCCTTCCATCCTGCTTTCGAGCCCTGTCGGCTTCCTTCCATCCCGCTTTCGAGCCAAGTCTGTCGGCTTCCTTCCATCCCGCTTTCGAGCCAAGTCTGTCGGCTTCCTTCCATCCCGCTTTCGAGCCAAGTCTGTCGGCTTCCTTCCATCCCGCTTTCGAGCCAAGTCTGTCGGCTTCCTTCCATCCTGCTTTCGAGCCAAGTCTGTCGGCTTCCTTCCATCCGCTTTCGAGCCAAGTCTGTCGGCTTCCTTCCATCCTGCTTTTCGAGCCAAGTCTGTCGGCTTCCTTCCATCCCGCTTTCGAGCCAAGTCTGTCGGCTTCCTTCCATCCCGCTTTCGAGCCAAGTCTGTCGGCTTCCTTCCATCCCGCTTTCGAGCCAAGTCTGTCGGCTTCCTTCCATCCCTTTCGAGCCAAGTCTGTCGGCTTCCTTCCATCCCGCTTTCGAGCCAAGTCTGTCGGCTTCCTTCCATCCTGCTTTCGAGCCAAGTCTGTCGGCTTCCTTCCATCCTGCTTTCGAGCCAAGTCTGTCGGCTTCCTTCCATCCCGCTTTCGAGCCAAGTCTGTCGGCTTCCTTCCATCCTGCTTTCGAGCCAAGTCTGTCGGCTTCCTTCCATCCTGCTTTCGAGCCAAGTCTGTCGGCTTCCTTCCATCCTGCTTTCGAGCCAAGTCTGTCGGCTTCCTTCCATCCTGCTTTCGAGCCAAGTCTGTCGGCTTCCTTCCATCCCGCTTTCGAGCCAAGTCTGTCGGCTTCCTTCCATCCTGCTTTCGAGCCAAGTCTGTCGGCTTCCTTCCATCCTGCTTTCGAGCCAAGTCTGTCGGCTTCCTTCCATCCTGCTTTCGAGCCAAGTCTGTCGGCTTCCTTCCATCCTGCTTTCGAGCCAAGTCTGTCGGCTTCCTTCCATCCCGCTTTCGAGCCAAGTCTGTCGGCTTCCTTCCATCCTGCTTTTGAGCCAAGTCTGTCGGCTTCCTTCCATCCTGCTTTCGAGCCAAGTCTGTCGGCTTCCCTTCCATCCTGCTTTTCGGAGCCAAGTCTGTCGGCTTCCTTCCATCCCGCTTTCGAGCCAAGTCTGTCGGCTTCTTCCATCCCGCTTTGAGCCAAGTCTGTCGGCTTCCTTCCATCCCGCTTTCGAGCCAAGTCTGTCGGCTTCCTTCCATCCTGCTTTCGAGCCAAGTCTGTCGGCTTCCTTCCATCCTGCTTTCGAGCCAAGTCTGTCGGCTTCCTTCCATCCTGCTTTCGAGCCAAGTCTGTCGGCTTCCCTTCCATCCCGCTTTCGAGCCAAGTCTGTCGGCTTCCTTCCATCCTGCTTTGAGCCAAGTCTGTCGGCTTCCTTCCATCCCGCTTTCGAGCCAAGTCTGTCGGCTTCCTTCCATCCTGCTTTCGAGCCAAGTCTGTCGGCTTCCTTCCATCCTGCTTTGAGCAAGTCTGTCGGCTTCCTTCCATCCTGCTTTCGAGCCAAGTCTGTCGGCTTCCTTCCATCCTGCTTTCGAGCCAAGTCTGTCGGCTTCCTTCCATCCCGCTTTCGAGCCAAGTCTGTCGGCTTCCTTCCATCCTGCTTTGAGCCAAGTCTGTCGGCTTCCTTCCATCCCGCTTTCGAGCCAAGTCTGTCGGCTTCCTTCCATCCTGCTTTCGAGCCAAGTCTGTCGGCTTCCTTCCATCCCGCTTTCGAGCCAAGTCTGTCGGCTTCCTTCCATCCCGCTTTCGAGCCAAGCCTTAGCTGGGGTATATAAACTAGCATACCCGAAATTATACCCGGGGTACCTAAAAAAAAAAAAAACCCTAGCCTATAATAAACCTTGCTTTTCCAAGATTTTATTTAAGATTTATATATAAATTATACGATAAACAATACTTATATAAGACTGGCGGTTATATAACCATAAGTATGCGCCAAGTATTTAAGAAAACATTTACAGAACTATATAAAGATGTCATATTTCATCGCCGCAAATCATTCTCATTTTTCAGAAGTATCAGGAGCAATGGCAGCAATCTGAAAAATAAATTAAAATAGTACTACTTTCTAAATATATATTTTTTAAATGACCAGGGTCTTAATTTTCAAGGTTAAAATTTGTTGTCGAAAAAATATCATCCGAGGTGACAATATCGTAAAAACAGCCTGTTTGTCAAGGATTTTTTTTTACAATGAACTTCAACCTGTGAGGTAGATGGTTACGGAGTAAGTGGCACATATTATGGGTATATGTGGGACAAGATAAGTGTAACTCTAAACAGGTTGTCATTGTAGTGATCGAGGGAAGTATCCTGTAGGTCTAGTGTATCATGAACCCTGACCCAAGCAAATAGACCAAGGTCATTGTCCTGCAGTTCAAAATGTCCACCATCAGACAAGTTGCCTGAGGAAGGGCGATACAAGTCCTACACGATAAGAATAGGGTAATTTAGGTCCACAAAGACTAGGAAGAACAATTATTGATCTAAGTACTCAATACGCTAAAACACACACAAGGACTCTGTGTGCATTGATTTTTCTACAGGACCAGAAATTGAATTAGAACAATACTGGTGGCTTTTACATGGCCCTCACGGTGATAGCCAAGTTCATGTCTTCTGAAAGTGACCTGGCGTTACGAGTGTCATGTTAAGTGTCACATTCTTGCAGAGATTTAATTTCAGTATCACCGCTGACATCAAACTGCCAGACTTTTTTTTAATAAAGCCGTGAATAATGGGATAACCTGTCTTGTATTAGCGCCCTGAATCATCACTTATAGACTACGTGGACAGTCGAGGAATTTGACGATAATATAATCTTCAATATTTGCCCTTGAGGATGATTTAAATAACGTGGATTGTTACATATGGGGTGGAATCTTTTGAGCGTGAGACCAGACTGCGGCCTTACAAGACCTAGGACTACTTTTAAGTGGAATATACGTACTATTCATTTTTGCAATATACTCTTTCATGTATTGGAGTTTATTTTATTTTATTTTTTTTTTTTTTTTTTCGGAATTTCTTCTCAATTGCCTAATTAGGTTTTTTCTGTCTTGTTTCCCCTGTTTTTCTTCGCCGTGTCTTGTTTCCCCTGTTTTCTTCGCCGTGTCTTGTTTCCCCTGTTTTTTTCTTCGCCGTGTCTTGTTCCCCTGTTTTTTCTTCGCCGTGTCTTGTTTCCCCTGTTTTTCTTCGCCGTGTCTGTTTTTTTCGCCGTGTCTTTTTCCCCTGTTTTTCTTCGCCGTGTCTTGTTTCCCCTGTTTTTCTTCGCCGTGTCTTGTTTCCCCTGTTTTTCTTCGCCGTGTCTTGTTTCCCCTGTTTTTCTTCGCCGTGTCTTGTTTCCCCTGTTTTTCTTCGCCGTGTCTTGTTTCCCCCTTTTTTTTCTTCGCCGTGTCTTGTTTCTGTTTTTTCTTCGCCGTGTCCCTGTTTTTCTTCGCCGTGTCTTGTTTCCCCTGTTTTTCTTCGCCGTGTCTTGTTTCCCCTGTTTTTCTTCGCCGTGTCTTGTTTCCCCTGTTTTTTCTTCGCCGTGTCTTGTTTCCCCTGTTTTTTTTCGTGTCTTGTTTTGTTTTTCTTCGCTGTGTCTTGTTTCCCCTGTTTTTTCTTCGCCGTGTCTTTTTCCCCTGTTTTTCTTCGCCGTGTCTTGTTTCCCCTGTTTTTCTTCGCCGTGTCTTGTTTCCCCTGTTTTTCTTCGCCGTGTCTTGTTTCCCTGTTTTTCTTCGCCGTGTCTTGTTTCCCCTGTTTTTCTTCGCCGTGTCTTTGTTCCCCTGTTTTTTCTTCGCCGTGTCTTGTTTCCCCTGTTTTTCTTCGCCGTGTCTTGTTTTGTTTTTTTCCGTGTCTTGTTTTTTTTTTCGCCGTGTCTTGTTTTGTTTTTCTTCGCCGTGTCTTGTTTTTTTTCTTCGCCGTGTCTTGTTTCCCCCCTTTTTTTTTTTTCTTCGCCGTGTCTTGTTTCCCCCTTTTTTTTCTTCGCCGTGTCTTGTCCCCCCTTTTTTTTTTCTTCACCGTGTCTTTCCCCCCGTGTCTTGTTTTTTCTTCACCGTGTCTTGTTTCCCCCCCTTTTTTTTTTCTTCACCGTGTCTTGTTGCCCTTTTTTTTCCTTCGCCGTGTCTTGTTTCCCCCTTTTTTTTTTCCTTCGCCGTGTCTTGTTTCCCTTTTTTTTTTTTTCCTTCGCCGTGTCTTGTTTGCCCCTTTTTTTTTTCCTTCGCCGTGTCTTGTTTCCCCTTTTTTTTTCCTTCGCCGTGTCTTGTTTCCCCTTTTTTTCCCCCTTCGCCGTGTCTTGTTTTTTTTTTCCTTCGCCGTGTCTTGTTTCCCCCTTTTTTTTCCTTCGCCGTGTCTTGTTGCCCCCCTTTTTTTTTTTTTCGCCGTGTCTTGTTGTCGTGTCTTGTGCCCCCCCTTTTTTCTTTTGACCTGTCATTGTTTTCTTTCTCATTTCGTCGTTCATAGTTTTTACCTTTTTTTAACTGTTTTCTTTATTCAATTCCTTTGTTCTTTTTCATTCTTTTTTTTTAATTTCTTTCTATTCCTATTTACCATTTCGCCCTCATGCTTTTTTTTTTTTTTTTTGCTTCATCCTAAGTTCCTTTGTCCCCCCTTCTTAATTTTCCAACTCACGCTTCCTTATTCAGTTGTCATTTCTTTATATACAATTGTTTCTCTTCAGATACCACATTTTATTCATGTTTACTGTCTATATTTTTCATGTTCATATTTATTTATTTCAGTCTACCATGTTTCCTTATTTGTCGCCATATTGCTTTCTTCTACCTTATACTATTATTTTTTTCTACGCATTTATAAAATTTTCTTTTCTTTTATCTATTCATATTCTTTTTCCCTATTTGACATCCTCTCAACCATATTCTTTTTTTATATCTTCCTTATTTTAGTGCTTCCTGTGCATTACGATCGTTTTTTTTGTTTTTTTTTTTTGTTTGTTTTTAGCTTTAAGGCTTACCGTTTATCTCTTATTCAAAATCAGATGCAAGGTATTTAAGTTGGGAAAGCGCCACCAATACTAAGAAGGATAAAAAGATGGCACCGATTGGTCTCTTTCAAGTTCTTAAGAGCCATTCGCTTCCTTTCATCACCTGTTGAACGAGCCTGAAAGCCGGTAGTTAGGAGGGGGACACTTGATACTATATCATCTCTAATTGCTACTTTGTACTTTGCTTCAAGGAACCTTTTTTTTTTTTTTTTTTTTTTTTTAGAGTTGCAAAGAAAGAAAAATTAATATGGCGTCCGAGTGCAAGTTTCTTTGTGTATGCTTGTAAAACCACACATATACAGATAAGACTTTTATTCTTATAAAGTACGTCAAATGTTATTATGCAACCAAGTTGTTCTCAATAAAATTGGTATGGAAATCATCAGAATGCGATTATATTTATTTGAGCAATATATCACCTAAATTGTTAAGTCTTATTAAAACTTTAACTCGTAAGCAAAATTGTTACCGAAAAATAAATTAAAAAAAATAGGTCATAAAATAAATAACGTATTTGACGGCAAATAAAACGCACCTTATTTTTTATTTATTTTTTTTTTTTTTTAATAAAATATCTTCAAATACCCCTGCATCTTATATGCCACATGTAGATTTAACATTCGCCATAGTCGGCTGAGATTAGCTACCTGGCATGCCCTAGACTTTAGAGTAACTTTCATATACCTGTTGTCATTATTTAAAAGGCTATTATACAAATTAAGTGTTATCATTGATAATATTCATTATATTAATTTCATCACGTTTAACATTAGTACTTTGTTTCACTAAAATTAGATGCAATAAATTCAAATTATATATTTGTAAAATACATTAATATTTTCTTGCTATAACTTCCGGTTGCATTGTTATAAATACAATCAGAATTTTTATATCATAATGATTCCAATAAGACGTTTACAAGACGCAGGTTGTACAGACCATATAAAGGATGTAATAAAGATTTTATAGGCTCGTGTTCTTTTTTTCTGTTTTTTCATTTAATTGTAATCACTGTCATTTAAGAAGGACGATATTGTTTAACAGCCCAGTACACTTAAGTTATTTTTGTTTAATGTTAATATGGGGTTCTTGAAATTCTTGAAGCTTTATCATTCTTTCATACACACAGGTCATTCTGGACAGGATGTTTAAAATTTAAAGAGGAGACGTCCATAATAGAGAAAGAAAAATTACTCCAAAGTTGGATAGATGAGAGGTAAAGGAACTACACACACACACACACACACACACACACAAGCAAGCAAGCAAGCTAGCAAATGGATTGAGTTAAAATTTGCGGCAAAAGCAGCTACGGACAAACTAAACCAGAATACACCACTAGGAGATTCTATCAAACTTAAACGATTTCTCGATTGAAATAATTGCAGGAATAAGGGAATATACGACAGTGGTGAAATACTCTAAATCTTAGATCTCTCTTGATAGCGGTAGCTATAAAAGAAGGTGCAAATTCCATAGGATAACCAGCTTAATAAGACACATCACTAAGCCTATCATACGTTGTGTAAATCAGTTATACCGGAAATAGGACAAGTACGATGTTGTATTGTTAAAGATTTGAAAAAAGATTCATTATTTATTATTTTATTATTTAAAAACAATGAATTAAATTTTGAATTAACATTCAAAAATTCTTTTTTTCATTTTGGCATAGTTTTTTTCCCTAAAATCGTTCTCGATATATCAAAATTTATGGATCTCTTCTGTTAATTTACCCTACATAATGTAAAGTTACATATCGCAAATATTAATTCACCCCAAGAAATTATAATATTTAAATCATTTTGTTTGTTTTTGCTTTTTATTACATATTTGGCACACATTTGAAATAATAAATTTTAAAATTTGTTTAGCTTGCCTCGCAGCAAATCGAACATTCAGGATGAAAAAATTACCAAAAATCATTTTCTCACATATCGTACGTGCGGATGATATTCAAGGTAATTATATAGGTGTTATATATATATATATATATATATATATATATATATATATATATATATATATATATATATATATATATATATGGTGAGCGAATATAGACCCTGCACGTAAAAAATAGTGCGCCTGGGTTGCCCACATTTGGGGTGATCACAAAAGTCAGCTCAACCAGAGTGCAAAGGAAGGACCTCGCTCTGGTAGAATTTGCTGTGGATTTCAGTAAATATAAATTCTATTTATTTTGGGATGAATTAACAGTAGATCCATATTAAAACGAGCGATTCAAATACAGAACGACATAACTACACAGTCATTTGAAAAGGTAATACCCAAAATTCATTTTTTTTTTCCACCAAGCAAATCAAATAGCTCAGACTGGATTCTTCGCAATAGCTATGCCAATTTCGAAAACATAGCGTGCACATTTTACAGCGACACACAATGGAACAAAATAAAGGTGACGTCTTATGTATTGGAACTTCAATTCTCCTCTATGAACGGCAGATAACAACTGGGAAAGAACTTGACCTTTGATAATCCCTTTCACAACATTTGCAAGCGGTGGGTAGAGGAAATAGAACGGATTCACAGTGATTTTACTGATCGACCCAGGAATGAGAAGTTTATATGTCGGCCCGTTTCAGGAAATAAACACGAAAAACTATCATCTGAAGAAGTCTGGAACATACAACATCCGAAACGTTGGGAATATGACGATAAAGTTGAGGACGATGTAAATAGTGTTATATTAAAACGAACGATTCAAATATAGAAGTACCTATTTCTAGGTTTCGTAACTACACAAAATCATTTGAAAAGGTAATACACAAAGATTAGTTTTTTTCTAAGGTGCTGCAAATATTATAACACAGACTGCATTCTTTGCAATAGCTATGTCAATTTCCAAAACATCTATGACGTAAGCCTTGTACAGCAACACACAATGAAACCAAATAAAAGTGACGTCTTTTTGCATTTGAACAACAATTCTATTTCTGTGAACGGCAGGGTAACAACAAACCGTGCGGAAAGAACTTGACCTTTGACAATCCCTTTCACGAAATTTCCAAGCGGTGGGTAAAGGAAATGGAACAGATTCTCTGTGATTTTACTGAGCGACCCAGAAATATGAAGTTAATATGCCGGTCCGTTTCAGGAAATAAACACGGGAAGACGTCTACACTAACTTCATCGAACTAATCTTCCGAAACGCAGAACATACAGATTGACTATACCGAGTTCGTTTCGAAATTCAAAAAAATATCACCTGGAGAAGGCCGAAGCGTACAAAATGTTGTGAATGTGACGATAAAGATTAGGACAATTTAAATAGTTTAAATACCCAAAGAACTATTTGAACTGCTACGGAAACTTGATTTATTTAGGGAAGACATGAGAACAATTCAGAACTGTATGCGGACAGAAAGTGAATTAAGAACAAAAAAATAGAAAGGGGAGAGACGATGAAGCGTCTTGTCACCGGATTTATTCAGTCTTGACAGGCATCCTGGGTATGACGATAAAATACGTCCAACAGCAAGGCCTCTGATAACGTTTCTGGAAAAATAATGTTGCCAGGTATACGTTTCTGGAAAAATAATGTTGCCAGGTATACGTTTCTGGAAAAATAATGTTGCCAGGTATACGTTTCTGGAAAAATAATGTTGCCAGGTATACGTTTCTGGAAAAATAATGTTGCCAGGTATACGTTTCTGGAAAAATAATGTTGCCAGGTATACGTTTCTGGAAAAATAATGTTGCCAGGTATACGTTTCTGGAAAAATAATGTTGCCAGGTATACGTTTCTGAAAAAAATAATGTTGCCAGGTATACGTTTCTGGAAAAATAATGTTGCCAGGTATACGTTTCTGGAAAATAATGTTGCCAGGTATACGTTTCTGGAAAAATAATGTTGCCAGGTATACGTTTCTGGAAAATAATGTTGCCAGGTATACGTTTCTGGAAAAATAATGTTGCCAGGTATACGTTTCTGGAAAAATAATGTTGCCAGGTATACGTTTCTGGAAAAATAATGTTGCCAGGTATACGTTTTGGAAAAATAATGTTGCCAGGTATACGTTTCTGGAAAATAATGTTGCCAGGTATATTTATAGTATATATATATATATATATATATATATATATATATATATATACACTAAATTTGATATTATTGACCTACAGTGGTTGATATGCCATAAAACCAACCAATCTTGACAGCAAGGTTATCCTAAGAGATCAAGTGCTCCCTACACTTATTATTGGTAGGCTCCATCTTAACGTAACATAAACATATACTGTGTTTTTTCATGACAGATAACAAAAGAAAACTGCGGGAAAGAGTAGGGAAGGTAACAAAGGAAAGCAGTAAGAAAAGATTAACTATCGCTTGTAAGAAAACAATGCAAGTTTGTCAGCCAATTGTATAAGCTATAAAATCAGCTGTACTGTAAATGGAATGGGTAAATACAAAAGAATAATGACCGAAAAAAAATGCGATAATTGTCAAATGAACAACTGTAGTGTAAAGTGAATCAATCCAGTAGAGAAATATAAACTTCAAAAGACGGCGGGAAAAAGTGACAAATCCGAAGGAAATAGTGAAACATGACTTCCAAAAGGTAAACATCTCATTAGAAACAAATAAAAGGCTACTAAACTGTTATAATTTCAATCCTATTATACGGGTGGTAATGCTGGACAATCCCCTCACGACCGAAGAATAGACATGAACCAAATGAAATGTGGTTTTACATAAGGGTGCTGTGAATACCATGGATAGAGCATTTAAGTAAGTATGATATTTGAAAGAGCGTGGAAACAAAAATGTCACTTTTACTACCAGAAAGAGAAAACAGTGATATTTGGGACGCATAATAAGGAAAACCGGCTTGGAGAATTTAAAACTTACAGGAAGATATTAAGGAATATATACTAAGAAAGACAGAAACAGCAATTAGCTATTTAACGAGTGTGTGTAAATACGAGGAACTGGGATGAATAGTAAAAAAAAAAAAAAAAAAGTTAGTTGGAGAGACAAAGGATCGGTAGCTGTGGAGAGTCCACATTGTTCACGTCTTTTATTTTAGCAACTACAACATAAATTATATATACTTTGATATTCTTTTACAATTTTATATATAATTCT